CACACAATCATACCAACCAACTCAAATGCATAACGAAATTCCACTGCCATATTATTTACAACAACATGAAATAACAAAAAGTCAACTTACAAACTTTTCTCAAATGCCAAATGCCGCAGAATCACTACAAATGAATATGAATCCATACCTAATGGGTGGATCATCAATATCAAACAAACCACTAATGGTATTTACAGGCACAGACCCTGAATACTCTGTAGAAGATTATCTAAATGCTGTCACAGCAAATTTAATTTGAAGTATAGGACCTGAACCAGCAAACACGCCACTTCATCAAAATTGGATACATAGACGCACAGCTTTAATCCAATCCCTCTTCCATTTCAAATGTGACACCCATATATTTCCCCTTAACCAGTGAACCATCCGATAACAATGACTCTGCAAACAAGCAAATATCACACGAGCTTGATAATTTCATCACACTGCAGCAACAATTACACCACCCTCAAACACTAACCATTCACCAACTCTCACAATCTATAAGATCATCCAACCCATCAACCCCAACTCCCTCTTCACAATATACCCCTTCGCATAACCCGACTTCCTCATCAACCCCATCCTCCAGTACAAACCGAGCTTACCGAACCTTTAAAAGAAAATTCCCAAATACTCCATTCCCATCTAACCCAGGAACATCCACAACATTTGTCAATCATCCACTTCACTCTAAAACAGAAGAATTTCCCCAATTATGTTTACCCTTTTTCCCACAATACACATACTTCCAATCAGACCCCAATGACGAAAAACCTAATTATGTAAAGGAGCACGTATTATACGCCACACTTTCATGGACATCGCACTATCACTTCACTAATCCACTATCACTACCACTATATAACACACCTCATGACAACGAAGTATGCAGCACCCAACTCTATCTTTTAACAACAGCACTAACCCCAAAACAATTCACACGGATAGGATACAGACAATCACTAATCAAATTCACCGCACCCAAATCTAATGAATATTCTATCGGTTATTACGATCATAACATCATACGACATAACGAAGACATCTTTCTGAACGACGACCAATTTGCTAATCCACAACTAACAGAGAAATTTTTCATCAAAACACCATAAATTTTCACCCTCAACACCTTAAATAAAAAATACGACAACGTCATTTCAGCAGCACTCCGTGATATTCATTCTTATGATTCATACTTTAACAAATTTAACCACTTTTCACTAACCTTTCATTTCCTCACACCCAAAGAACGTGATTTGCACTGTTAACACGATGTCATGTTACGAACTAAACAAACACACACGTACACTTACTACCAGTTCATCCAACACCATTACACTCATAATATACCAGCACGACAACTTCACCATAGATATCAATACAATAACTCTAAATAAACCTCACCATTTTTTTTAACTTCACCTATTGTATTAAAGACACTAACCTACAAGACATCCTCCGAAATTACGATCCCATCACCCAGATGTATATATTCTGTCCCCTAACCAAACTCTCCAACGTAGACGAAACCCGTCCACTAATCGTCCAACACTAATTCCTTCAGCCCGTTGAAGTGCCAATCCTAGAATTCATATATATAACACCCGATATAATCATAAACTCAATAACCTTATTTAAAACACACCGTATGAACTCTCACTTAGAACTGAAGAGCACATCATTAAAGCACTCGAATAGCTTTGGACATTTCTTCAAACTAAATACATCATTCGTTTGCTGGCTAAACTACTGACCTCATCAGACATCATCCACGACGTTTTTCCCCACGGATTCTTCACCGACGATTAACCAACAAAAACTAACCATTCTTCATAAATGTTTTTTCTTTCTTCATAGGCACAATCATGAACCATCTGCAAAACAAAAAAAAGAAATAAAAACAGTTAACTTTTTCTGGATTCATAAATTTCTATAAACTAATTATAATAATTGAAGCGGTAAAATTCTCCTGTACAAAGCAATAAATTGATATATAAAATCTCTTCCCAATGCAGTAAATCTTCTTACAATTGAAAATATATTGATAATTTCAACCCCCAAATCAAGCAGTAAACTTCATAGTTTCAAAAGAGTAAAATAATAGTAAAAGTTGCCCATAAATTGCAAAAAGCAGTACTAACCTTTTCAACGACGCTTCTTTATATTTTCAATATTCAATCGCCCAAAAATTCTGTCCACAATCGCACAGCTCACCTACGAAGAATTGTTTAAAATAATGAATTTAATTTTCAACTTTCACTGATAACAACTCTAACCAGTTTTAACACGTTTCAAACTTTGCTTTTACCAGGTTGGAAAGGAATTATATAATAATCCAAACTAACCAACGCAAGCTTACTAAACACCATGAACCACAACCTAACAGCATGACTAGGAAAAGAAAACCCACGGTAACCAAACTGGATTAACAACAGCTTAGAACTGGATAAATTATTCTTTTAAATACTACTTTTAAGTCTGAACACAAAAGAACAAAACACCAAAAAGTCGAAAGACAAACACAAAACAAACAATTTGATTTTTGAGAAAAAGACACAACTAAGACAACAAAAACCAGTAACAAAAAATGCACGAAAGGTTGAACTAAAACAGAACCCTCCAAAAAAGAGCATTAAATTATACCCTCACTCCTGGCCTAACCTACCAGAGAGGACGTCCTGAGCATGCTCTATAGCCGGCCTCGCCCACCGTGCTACATCCACGCTTTGTGACACCCACGACTCAATTTTTGACGAGAGTTACTCAAGTGTGAGTAGCTCTTAAAAATAACCGAACTAAATAATAACGCTTTTGCGATAAAAACTAATACAAGATCATGACTAAAAACAAGATTAACAAAGATTTATATATGTAAATAATACAATGCAGTATATAGATAACATACAGCCCAAAGACGAGCAGCAAGGAACTTGACAACCCAATCACACTCCAACTACGGAATGGCAAGACACACCTGACATGCTACCTACAGTCACTACACTCAACGGATTTAAAGTACGACTTGGCATCGCAGTAAAGGAAACCCATTGCAACCGAACAATGGCCATCTCGATGTTCAAGCATACGTACAGATCCAAGTCACTAGGCACAGCATCCAAAGTCAAACTACATGCCACTCCCGAATGTGATTGGACCATTGCTATTCTCTAAAATCAACCAGATCAACACTCATCACAACCGATCAGAAATCATAATACGATCTCCCGAAACTATCGTGATAACATCTCTTCTTCCAAACCAGAAAAAAGAATATGCTCGCAACCTCTAAAGAAAAGCACCATCATCCATCCTTCACTACAATAGAACATTGAGAAACTAAAACTCTCTAAACCCCGAATGGGTGGAACCAGATCTAAACTAGTATTTATCATTGGTTATTATTATGATATTTTATCTAAATAAAATATTAAATACTAACCTATCATACTCCACCAAACTAACAACCCACTTATTTGTTTTGTTTGAATTAAACTTAGAATACAGTTGTTCTCATTCTGGAACTAACTCGCGTAAACCGGTGTACACTAGATCTATTGAGACTAGGAGATATAAGAGTAAGATTAAGATTGGTATTAGACTAAGAAATTGCACGAATCTATCCGATCGAAAATAAGATAGCGTGACGAGCAGACGGTGTACCTTATCTGAAGTTACTCTATGAGTAAAGTATACAATACATAACTCAATTCACTTTAAAACTTGAAATGAACGATTGACGCCGCTATTGGATAGCATAAATTGCCTTTTAGTTAGCGAATCATTTAGTGAATTAAAGAAAATTAAAGACAAAACACCAATATAATTATCGAACATAAATACGTGAAATTCAATTCGTTCATTGACACTGAATAACTCATTTGCTTGTAGATATATTGATCAATTTTAAAAGGAGTATTAGCTGCTGTTTCTTAGATTAATCAACGTATGTTAAAATACTCGTTCAGAAAACCCAAACTTTTCCGTTCACCTTGTCAATTTGAACAAAACTTATATTCAATAATTTGTTTTTCAGCTGTTAGCATTTAAGGAGCAGTTAACTGAAACATAGCCAACAGAAACTTGCAAAAGAGTCAACTAACGCAAGGAAACGGAAAAAAACTGACTAATTCTAAATCTAAAATCAATTTTCGAAATTAGAAGCCGATCACGTTTTTTCATTACTTTTACAATTTTGCTGTTGGTTAGAGGAAGTTGTTCGTAAGAGGAACTTTAAAAAAATCAAAAGTCAAACATACCTATATAAGAGTCTTCCCTAGGTTCACCGACTCGCAATTAGGCTCATGAACTCTAGAAAAACTGCCAGTTTAACAAACTATAATTAATTTACGAGATTAGCAAGCTGCTGTGCAAGTAGCACGGAAAAATCTGACCACACTAGCAAATTAGGCGCAATCGAAAACAAATGTCTCCCAAAACCTATTAAAAGAGCCAAGAGAGAAAAAGCAAGCGATAACACAAAATACTCTACGAAGTGAAACAAGAAACGTTGAATTAAGCTTCGAATTGAAAAAAACTCTGCAGCATGTCGGATTCTATCCTGCGACCCAGATACTAAAAGTCTTCCGCGCCTACCACTCAGCCACGGTGACTATAGCAAAAACTCCACCAAATGAGCATTTTTATTTGCAAGTTAGGTTGGAAAAAAGAAGGTTCATACTAATAGACTACGCTCGCAAGCTCGCTCGTGCAAATTATGAAATTTGAAAAACGAATAAGCTCCACGGAAATCGATTGATCGTCAGTAGTCGAACATATAAGTTTATAAATCAACTGTCCTGCTCAACTGACCCCAAGCACTACTCAAAATTAAATAGGAGAACACATGATTTTTAAATGCCACTACTATGCAACAAAAGTGCCTCGAAAACGAGAGCTTTTATTTGCAATTTGGGCTGCAATAAAAGTGGTCTTCGTAAGTAAAACGACATTACGCTCACTAGCTTGCTTGTCTTGAAACCGGTTATTGTCGAAACAGACAATTTATGAATTTTTAAATTTAGTTTGAGTTTCAAATAAAGGGTTTCAATAAAGATATATCACACGACCCATTCTGACGATTATTTGAAAAAATAATTTGAACAACCGAAGTCAAAGTTTCTTCCCACTTTCAGTGGCCGGAACAAAAATACAGCATTTAAAGTGTAAATCTGACAGAAAGACGAGGACATTTGATACATTCTTGGATAGTCATTATCTAATTGAAGTAGTTATTACGTGATAGAGAAATAGACCCAAGTTTTTATTTTGGGATAAACCGTACAACGGATCTATATGACGACGAAAAGAAATCGCTACAGCGACCGAATTGAAGCTGATTTTTGCTCAGAAGTTTTGGATACATAACTATTACTCATTATTCGGTTGCTATTATAGATCTGTTGAAGCATGTCCCAGTCTGGAAATCAGGTATGAAATAATATTCAGATTACTTCTTTCAATTCGGCCAGATATTTGTACAGGTTATGACCAATCTCCATGTTCACGCTTTCGATTCGTCTCGCATACTTGTGGGTGAAATAATGGGAACTGTTTCTTCCCCGAAGGGTCTGTCTTTGAACATTTGCACAATCTCGCTAGCCGATTTTCCTTCTACATTTGGCATTTTGACAGATAAATAGCCAATGAAAATGACCAGAAGCGTGAAGAAAATTAAAAACACCCAACCGCACAATTCTTGTCGAATGGGGTCGAAAGCCAGGGCTATCATGAAATTACACAGCCAATTTGTCGTATTGGCAATTGCCATGGCTTTAGGCCTCGGACTAGACGTGAACAATTCCGGTGCAATCAGCCACGGAATAGCGCCAGGTCCAATTGAGAAAAATCCGACATAAACGAAAATGAGAACGATAGCAATGTCATTTGTGGTTTTCGTTGGCGTCAGTCCGTGACATGTTTGGTTGTCTATTACCAGACCACTGAGGAATATTCCAATGAGCAGTGCACATACAGCCATGCCTCCCAAACCGACAAGGTGCGACAATTTTCGCCCAAGTCTGTCGACTGTGAACACGGACACGCCAGTGATGACCAAGTTGACAGAGCCAGTGACAGCAACCATGTACTTGGGGAAGTCGGGGTCACTGTCCACTTTGTCTTGCGGCAGGGTGGCATTGAAAATGGGGGAGGAGAAGTAGTTGACGGCGTTGATGCCCGAGAGTTGTTGAGACATAGCCAGTACACACGAGATGATAAGTGGTCGACGCAGATAGCTACAAAAACACAGAGTGGGCAATCTCTGTAGGCCTTAGAATACTGACTTGCAATGATTAAAACAAAATTTTGGTCTGAACACCATTCACAGAATCAAAAACAAAAAAAAAGATACTAACTCGATTCGGATCAAGTCTCCCCAGGACACCGGGGGCTCCGATTTCTCCTTCCTGTCCTCCTCTATGATCTCGTTCATCTCCTCTTCTATATTCGCACTCTGACCTCTGAGTCTGGCCAGTGCCGCCCTGGCTCCCTCTCTGTCTTCCCTGGAGACCAGAAGGAACCGAGGACTACTCGGACAGAAGGGAAGCGTCACCCACTGAATAAAACCCAAAACCAGATTCATGTTAATCAATATCGGCCACAAATCAGCACCCCCAAGGATGGCCTCGAACCCCAATATTTGGGATCCTAGGATTCCCAGCACACACGTGAGTTGGAACACGACTCCCACTCCTCCTCTGATGTTCTTCGGCGCTATTTCCGATAAATACATAGGACCAGCAGAAGTGCAGATGCCACTTTGAATTCCTTAAATCATTTCTTTAAGTAACATGTGTCGACAATAAAAAAAACGTTGATTTGGTCCACTATAATCCGCTTTACACTGACTGAGAGACCACTGAACTTAAGATTACTGCAATCGCAGTCTTCAAGGAAAAAAGTGGGAATGATTCAACTAATCATAATAATTGCGAAGATGGCGCTGAAGACTCATATGACCTCACGCGAAGAAAATAATAATTTAAAAAAAACATTTCTAACCCATGACAAGTCGGCCAATGAAGAACATTTCATACGAGTTCGCATATTTTGAGCAGGACTGGAACAAAGTTCCTATGACCATGAACACATTATTAAGCAACATAGTCCTCTTCCGTCCGAATTTTGAGGTCATGGCCCCACCCACGAAGCAACCGACGATGGCAAAAAGGGTCCAGATTGCTACACATGAAGACCAAAACCAGGTGAGCCCAGTGTCAGAAAAAGGCTCACCGCTTCTCTCTGTTTTGGCTCGGTTGAAGAAGTCTTTGATGTGTTCCTAGAGGAAAAAATGACAACTTGTTAATATATTCCTAGGCACGTTCTCGGCTTGCATACTTCATCCTCTCAAAACCTAATTTAGGAATATCCATTATTCCTTTTGCAATATCTTTCAGCTTCACAATTCATTGAGAAACAAGGATTTGTTTCCAGGTTCATTCAGTAAGAACTTTTTATTAGTCACGGCCCTACTTCTTTCTTATTCCTTGGGTCTTACTTTCCTGGGGGAAGATAGATATCATTTTCACCGTAGCCGGTCCTACTTTGAGAATGACACTGAGAACCATCCGACCTTATTATTACTAGTTTGATTTCTGTGACTCGCAGAGGATCTATCGAAAGCTATCCAGCTTGTCTAAAGGTAGTCCTGGAACCAGTTCTAAACTAGTATTTATATCCAGTTATATTTTTGATAAAACTATCACAATAAAATATAACTAACTTACCAATCATCTCTAACATTGGCACTTATTTGTGAGTGCTGAAACTACTTGTAGTTTCAGCAACAAAAAAATTTGAATAAATCTTAGACTACAGTTGTTCTCCTTCTGGATAAACTCCAAGAACTAACTCGCGAAAACCAGTATACACTAGATCTATTGAAACTAGGAGATATAAGAGTAAGATTAAGATTGTTATTAGACTAAGAAGTTGCACGAATCTATCCGGCCGAAAATAAGATAGCGTGACGAACAGACGGTGTACCTTGTCTGAAATTACTCTATGAGTACAGACCAAAGGTCATTACTCATCTGGTGCGACCATAAGTCTCGAACAAGACCTTAACAAACTTAGAATTAGACAATTAAGCTTAGAATTAGACAATTGCAAAACTGGTAAATGGAATAGACAATTTAATAGAAATGTCTCTACCTCTCAAAAAATCTACGCCAATTTTCCAAACAATACGAGAAATACCAGGTATTGCAAGAAGATCAAGATCAAGGCGTGAACAACTATCAAGAAACGGACCGATCAACTACATGATAGTACGACGAAATAAATGAAAATCTAAATTTGCTGCATAAAGTATTCTAAATACAAAAACTTGTTGCGGTTTTCGTCGTACTATCAAGTTTTTGTATTTAGAATACTTTATGCAGCAAATTTAGATTTTCATTTATTGACGTGAAAATTATTTGAAGAATAATTCGAACAAATCTTCAACAACTCATTTGGTGCTAAACCTAATATTTAAACAATAACGACTGATAAAAAGAACACAAGTCGTTCCCCCAAAATCTGCGGTAAATCAAAACTTTTGAATAAATGATTTATTGAATAAAAAATACAGAAGTTAGTTAGTATTAAAGTTTATTGTTAGTTTCATGAATTCACATACATCATCTCTTTTTTTCATCCCAGCTGCATCACCTAAAACATCAGCATAAGTTCGAAAAAACTAATCTAATTCAAACTTTAACTTTTAAACTTTCTTAAACTTGAACTTTTACATAGAAACTTATCAAAGCTTATCCTTGCTTCTCCATAATTCATTTTTATTTCATAAACAGATCATCAAGGCTTTCCTTGGATCTTTAATTTCACTCAAAACTAAATTTATTTTATTCAATTTCCGATCATCAAGGCTTCCCTTGGATCAAATCAGAACAATTTTGTTCTCCCCACCCCATAATTTTAGAAGTGTCTAACGACCTCAAACGTCGATTCACTCTCCAACCATTATAAACGACCCAGGACAAATAAATTTTTTTGAAAAACTAACAATTTTGATTAAGATAGACAGTGAAGAACCGCGGTTACTCATCCTTCACTTGAGCTCTTCCTCTTAGATGACCCAGGCTAAAACCCTTAAATAATTAGTAAGTCATAAAATAGTATCTAACGATCTACCTGTGGTCTAATTATACCTGAACCTTGTGGATTGATTTAGTATTCTCCAACCATTGATCACAAATTATAACCCCTAGGTAAGATTAAGTGAGTCCATCATAAATTAAAACCTAGTCACGAGAAAATAAAAAAAATCATTCTCACGAATTGATATTCTCTCTACAACCCGTCAACCACGACAATCTATGCCCCAAGTTAGGATAACCACAAAAAATCGTAAGAACTAACAATTTAGGAAAATAGAAACTTTAACCCCCCAGTATTGCACCCATCATCCTAAGCCTTATGTCAAGAGATAAACTAGGCAGCAAGCAAACAATCCTAATACATAATTGTTAAATTAAAAACGAAAGATACGATCTTGTAATCCCACCGCACAGACAAACAATAGGATATATTAGATCAAAAAGACAAACACCAAAAAAAGGAAATAACAACAAAACAAAAGCAAAATATCAAAAGAAGATTTCCAAAGAGACGAAACGCAGTTTCAGAATCAGATACAAACACTATACAGGAACTTCAAGACTTGAAGAATAATCCGATAGAAAATCAAAAACATTTTTCTGACTCAGAAGCAACATTACCATCATCAATTTAGGGAAAACGCAGTAAAAAGAAACCATACATTAACAAACTAGTACGCCTATATAATTGGAATCAACCAATAAGACATATTGAAAGTTACGCATTAACAGTTCTAAGATAAACAAAATGATAGAATACAATAAAAATTTCGCCGAGAACTCGATACTACCATTTTTTATACGACCACAAAGTGATCCCGCCCGACAAATAACATACAACACCAAAATTCACAAGGAGCAAATTCAATTTTCAAAAACGATGTTTTTTCAATTAATTATAGCTAAATATCTATATCAGAATTGAAAGAAACACACAACGAGTCACCGCCTCAAACATCCCGGCACCCAACTGTAAGACAAGAAATCTATCTTTTCTCAAAATTTTTAGATGCAATCCGTGAAAACCTTATTAGTAACAAAATTTCACAAAATCTCAAACATGATCTACAAAGAATGAAAGCATGGTTCATAATTGATTATTTTGTCCATAAAAGCGATCTCATAGCAAAATCAAGAAAAAGTTTTCGACCGCAAAGCTCAGACGATGAAACTCTATTAGCAGATGGAACAGATTATGTTTGGGACCCTGATTGGTCTCATCCATCATTTATTAATATAACAACTGATATACCAAGTACAGCAATCACTACTATCTCTGTCCAAAAAGACTATGTTAGATCAACTCCACTTAATATTGACGCAACACCTTTAAATTATAATGTTTTCTGATAGAACAAGAAACAATAGTTCAAACTCCACCTTCATCAATACACAAGAAAATTTAAATGAAACAAGAAATCTTATACAACTAGATACTCAAACCTCATCACAAATCATTAATGAAGAAATAGTTGAAACCATGCCAACAACAAAAAGCATTTCCCCCATTCATCCTACACTTACAACACTTACTTCCACTAACAACTATACAACCCACAGTGAAACCTTCTATTACTCCAAAATAATCACAGATAGATTATCAAACATTTCCACTAGCAACGACATACCGAAAAACAAATAAACAAAAAAACATCTAATGGAAGCAATTTTTCAGATCATTACTACAACTTTTTTTGCAAAAAATAAAATAACAAAACCCCCTATATGAACAGTCAAAACCAACCACAGGCACAAAAATACAATCAACAAGTGCCACAACAAGCCTCTCACTCAGTTTTTTTCAACAATCAACAACGAGCTTCAGTAGATCGTAGCGAAAGCTTCCCTTTCTTTCAACATAATAAAAATATAACTGATAAACATCTTACAAGAAATAAACCACATTATTCAGAAGATGAAGACTATTTTAGCCAAAACCAACAACAATTTAACACAAATCAAGAAAATAATAACTGGAATATTGATCAACCAGATCCTATTTATCAGCCAGATCTGTTTGAACCAGATTCATTTTGTTTGTTCCTTTGTGTGATTGTAAAGATGCTGCGTCAATTCCAAAATTTAAGGCGTCGCACATGGCATAAAATGGTTGATCTGGATCTGGGATCGTATTTGAAGTGTTTTTACTTCTTCAAATCATTTTCGGTCTTCTGTCGTCCATTCAAAATTATTTGTTGTCTGAGAATATTATAAAATGGTCTTAAGTATAATTGCATTTTATAGACATATTTACTTAAAAAGTTTAGCCTTCCAAAAAACTCTTGGATTTTCTTTTTATTTGATGGTGGTTGAAGTTTTATGATTGTGTCTGTGCGAGATTTTAATGGAGTGATTGTATTTCCTTCAAAAATATATCCAAGGAATTTAACACGGGTAAGAAAGAAAAGTGATTTATCCGGGGCTGCTTTCTTGTTTTTCTCAAGTAGTATTTGGTGATATTTTTCCACTACTTTAAACATTTCGTGTTTTGTTTGTGATTGCATGAAAACATCGTCTCAATAGGTTATAACAATCTTGATGAAAATAAGTGGTCAAAAATTTTTAATCATGAATGCTGAAAAAGCTGCTGGCCCTATGAAAATTTCATAGAAAAGTCTATTCAATTCGTATTGTTGATTTCCAATAACGAATTGTGTTAACCGTCCTGATTGTTCGTCTGGCGGCATTTGATTATACGCGCTGTTCGGCTCAGCTGTTGTAAAACATTGTCCATTTATTTTAAAGAGAATTACTTGAATTGGTTCTATAGGCCAATTACATTCAGATTCAACAAGTGAATTGAGGTATCTGCCATCTAGAACAATTTTTAATGATTCTCCTTTAGCAAGAATAATAACGTGATTTATGAATGTGTTTCCTTTTGGTTGTTCTTCTTTATTAATTGGGGAAATTATTTCGTATTGTTCTAAGATATCTAGTAACCTATTGACTTTATCTCGTAAATGAATTGGAATTTTCTTGCTCGTTGTTTTTTGAAAACTACGTCAATTTTTAGAGGAGATGTAGAGGTGAATTTACTTTTCCATTATCAAACTTAGACGTAGCATAAACCCTTGGGTATTTAAGTAGTAGTTCTGTTAATTGTTCAAATTCTTGTTCTGTAATTTGAGTGTTGGAAATTGAACATTGTAAGAAATTTCTGTTGTTCAGTGGTATA